TATGTTGTGTTGGCATTTTACTAAAGCCCTAGTAATACAGCTTTTGGGCCATGTTTATGTGATAAATTATATGTGACACATAGTGAAACACTGTGTCTCAAAAAAGCAAATGTGCACAACCATATAACCATGCAAATGCTTATGGTGAAACAGCTTTTGATAATAACGGGATAAAAAACAGTGTCAAAAAACTGTGGGGAGTCGATGTGAAGAATAACGTGTCCAATAACTTTTGGTTAAAAATAGTCTGATGCTGCAGATACCTCTTATTCTTTTATTCTATTTTGATGGTTTGTTACAGAAGATGTTTCACTGAGGACTGAAATTGGGCCCTTGTTGAAATTTTATTATGAACATTTATTCATCAAGGTTTCACAAGGAGTAGCTCTGAAGTTAAACTTCCATAATGCTTATAAAAAGTCCTGAAAAGACAGAACCCGATCTGAGCGTCATCAAAAGTTGCACGAACATACAGCAACATGGAAGGATTGAGGTTAATGACAGAATTATATAGCCTTGGGGTCTTCCTCATCCTTTATACCACAGCAGGCTGCTACAACATAGATGAAAGAGATTTTCAAACTGGTACTAGCTTCAGTGTCAGCAAAATCAGGGAACTAAATCCTGCAGAGGAAGGTATTGCTGAAGAGGTCAAGATATTAAAGATCTAACAGATTTATAGAGCTGTATAAGCAGGTTTTAACATAAGATTTCTGGACTGAGAAGGTGTGCAAATCCCTGGAATGCTTTCATTGCAGCCAGATGGTACACAAGACAGGAAATATCAAGCATTAAACCATTGAGAGAAGCAGGTCAAATATCAGTCATTGAGGTGGTCACATCTGGATGTTTAGTAAGTCTGTGTGGGAAGAAATTCAGAAGTCTGTTAGAGGCAGTGCTTAATTTTCATTTTAAAGAAGTGCACAGATGATGGAAAAACTCATTCTTTTCTTACAGTAGCAAAATCAAGTGTTTTATTGTCTGAACAACAATTTCTTTAATGAATACCACCTTCTATATATGAGTTTTGAAATTTGCCATCTGTTTGATGATTAACAGAATGAGGCTGATCAGTTTGTCTTTCAGCTCCATAACACATTCTACCTCCTAGATCCTAATGTGGTGACCTCTTCTTTTTCCCTTGCTTCCTTCTAAAACAGCAAAACAAGAAAATTATGTTCACTGTAGTGTCAGAACTGAGTTTAATGTATTTATAACTGCTAGTGGAAAGAAACCTTATTTCACAGGTTTCTGTGATCAGAAATTCAAGGTGATGTGAATAATTTTGGTTGGGCACTTATGCTAGTTTACATTGCTGCTGACAGTTATAATGCCTTGATAGCCCTTACTCAATGCTTGATACTTGAGAACATTTTCCTGTATTACATGACAATTGCTGTTGACTTAATTCTCCTGACATCAAGGCATGACGAAAATTGTTTCATCAGCTTGAACTTTGACAGTCATTAGTCTGAGTTTCAGACCAACAAAAACTGGAAAAGTGATGATCAGAAGTGTATAGTCTTCCAGGCACATCTGGCACACTTCTATGTCATGTAACTTTTTGAACTTGTTGCAATGCAATTCCTTTTGGGAGCTTTCTATGTATGAAAGGCATATTTTCTTTTTCTTTTATCTTGGAATAATAATCAAAAAGCATTTGCAAAAAATATGGTCTGTTTTACAAATGGGATGCTAAACCAGTGATCGTTCACCTAATCTGTCACGGTAGATCTGAGAAGCCAAAAGAAGCCTGAGTTATCCAGGTCTCTGAGGTCCCAAACTGCGTTTATTTTCCTAAATTCATGCTGAGCTCAATAGAAATTTAGCTGCCTAAATAATTGTTCTTAATTTTGTTGGTAAAATCTTCAGAATTTTTACCAATTATGTTCTAGATAATAAAAGAATTGCACACATATCTTTTTACATTAGCACGTAAAACCATCTGCAGATAATATGCTACTAATAATTTGGATAGTGGTAACACTATCAGATAACAAATCATCTGTTACAACTTCAGTTAAAAAAAACCCCTATCCTAACCAATGCAAATGGAATATTAAAAATAAACAAATAGACCTTTGAGGAACAGTTTTAATGCCTCTCTTTAATATTCTACATTTCTCAATAGGTATCTGAAGGTTAAGTCCTACCCTGTAAGAGACAGAAATTATTAGAGACACAATGAGACAGAATGATAGAAAGAGGCAAGTTTCTCTAAGTAACTGGGAAGAGAAGGGTGCAGGCAGGAAACATTTTGTTGTCTTGAAGATGGTTTTAAGCAGTTTTTGAAATGTTTTATGCTTTAATAATATAGCTGGAGGAGTGGGGAGTTTTTGCCTAGAATAAAACTGGAAGAATGATTCACCGCGTGTCTGCAACTGTTCCTTGATCCCAGTTAAGTTTGACACCACTAACACCTATGAGTCAGTGGAGGCTCCTTGGGATGTGCTTTGCCTGCCCTGTTTTGAGACTGTTACAGTAGGATCTTTATCCAAGGCTGGAAACTGGCTTCCAGCATTGCCTGTGTCAGTTTTTCCTACCCACTATCAAATACCACCAGTCTCCACTAAGAGAGGGGATCTATTACTACATCCCATGATCTCTGCAATACAGCAGTAATAGTCTACACTTTATCATCCATGTCCAGAACCTCAATACTGTTTATCATCCCTCTGTAGCCAAGATAACAGATGTTCCCATGGGGACTTTGTGACATAATGTTGAAGATGAACATCTGGAATGGTCAACATAACCTAAAAAAGGACAGCTGTCATAACCAGCACTCAAGCCATGAGAAGGATTTGTGTGTTGTGCTTGAGGATCCTTTACTCTCCTTGAATTTTTATGAGCTCTGTGCTTAAGTTTAGAAAACAGTTCTGCTTCTAAAAAGATATGATGTAATTTGGGGATTTGACAAAGTAGAAAATATGGGAGCTCTTCCATGTATGATGCCATCTTACACTCACATCTTATGTGTCTTTGTCTCGTTTGATTCCAAGATTGCTCAACCTCTGAGCTGCTTCATCTTTCTATCTTGGCTTGGCATACAGCTCTGTAGATAACTGTTACAACATTTAGATTTTTGGCTAATGGACAGGCATCTACCTTCTGGAGCCATTTTTCAAAAAATATCATGAGCAAATGGTAATGGGAATACTTGGAAGCACATTTGATTGTTGTGCTTGCTACATTTATGCAAAATTAGAACATTTTACAATAGTTCTCATGATTTCTTCCAGTTCTATACCTACACCTAGTTGTTTCTTGGGGGTTTTTTGGCTTTTTTTTTGGGAGGGGGATGAGGGGGTGTTGTTCATGAACCTCTTACTACACAGTGTTATTTATACTGTGGTAGGACATACTGCTGGCTGCTCTGCAAAACAATTTCTGAGAGCCATTTTTCTCCGGATTTAAGTATCCGCCAACACTTACAATAAAAAATATTTTATATACATGGCACATGGTCTTATTCTTGGAAGACAGGCATTAGAGAACAATATTACCAAATAATTCTGTACACAAGGAAGCAAGACAAGTTTAATCTATTTACCAATAGGCACAGCAAGTCAGCAACAGGTCAGGAACAAAGATGCACTTTTTATGTGAAAGTAAGTATGGATACATCTTCCAGACTTCCCTTCAAAGTATTAATTGCAATGTGAACTGATGGACAGTGTTAACAAATAGTCTGGATGAGAAAATCAGTAAGTTTTCAAATAAATCCTCCTGTCTTGCTCTGATGCTCCTCCATCAATGCTTGCTCTGCAAGTACTGATTGTAACAAATTGACACCTAAACTAAGACCTGCTTTGGGAATATGGAGTAAGGTGTTTAGGAGACATTTGGCATATACTTAAACAACTCTGCAAAGCTCTTCAGAGAAGATTATCTGCTAAATTTTTCACTTTGCAAAAGTCGATGAGTAGTTTTCCATGTCAGTCAGTCTGAGTAAACAATCTCTGGCAGTGATATCACCTGGAAAAGCAATGATTCAGGGTTTAGTTAACACCTATGTCAATCACATAAAGCCATTGCTGTTGGTGATCACAGGTTTCCAGTGCAGAGAAATGGTTTTGTTTCTCAGCTGTTTACTTTGGTCTGATTTACTGAGATGTACTTACTGAGATATACCTGATGCTTTTCCCGAAGTGGAAGGCAGTACAAGATTCAGGTCACAGCTTGGTACTGAAAGCCACATCTTTCCATGGTAAATCATGCTCATCTGTTAAAAGCTGAGTAGAGTTTTGTCATATTGGATTTTGTTCATAAAGCCTTTAATGGGGTTGTAATTATTTATCTTGGTCTCTGACTCTTCCTGTGCCATGTGGTTTACAGTCATGGTCAGAACTGGATTCCTGTTCACTGATAAAGGATACAGTTTTCTTGTGCAGACAGGGAAAAAAATCCACTGGCATTTGGCTTTCCAGCTTTCCTGAAGGTACAGAGTAACTCTGTTGTATCTGACTTCAGGTTATGCAATAATTTTTTAGCTGCTGTTTCTTTGATTTACGATTGACTGAAGAAAGACAGTGTTTCTAGAATGGATTTTTTTTTTTTAAATCAGCACAAAAAAGTGCATGTTTTTGAAATGCTGACATAAAGACTTTTTATTTTTCTTGTTTTTAATTTACTTAAAAATTTACAATCTCAAAGGCTGACATTGAGCACATCCTGCCTGAGTTTACACTGCCTGTGAAGCTCCACCATTTGAAGTCTTCAAAAATGAGGGAAAAGTACATCAGTTCCTACAGTCACGATCCCTTTCATTCAACAACTCAAACAAACAAACAAAAAAAGTAACAAATGTATTGTTCTATAAAAAATAGGTACAGAAATGATTCCTATTTTAGCTTCTCACCACTGGTAGATTTAAGACTCTCAGCTTAAATTCTCTTTACAAGTTCCCAGAATTCTAATTGTAAGAGGTTATACCTTTACCAAAGCACACTCTTACGAGAAAAACTGAGTTCAAATTAAAAAAAACACAGTTTCGGTACTGCAGTCTGGGATTTTCAGACTTATTCAAGCTTGGCCACTCATCTCTCTACTCCTCTAGAGCTTTGAGAGGAAAAGATTGGAGCACACTTTGGGAGGAAAAGATTGGATCTATTACTTTGGGAAAAGGTCTTTTAACCTTTAAGGTAACTTTGTCAGTGCTGTAATTACTGTTCTTTAAGGTTGTACTATGTGATAATTTATTTGCAGGAAGCTTTGGATGTCTCAATGTTAAAATATTGTTTTTGTTACAACAAAAGACCTCGTATTATTGCTAAATTTGTGGAACAAAAAGATTCAACAAACCAGTTTGTTTTCAAAGAGTATGTAAAAATAAAGTTTAAATATTAGCAAACGGCTATTTGGGAGGAATTTAAAAATACTTCCGCCAAGAAAAATACTCTGGGAAGCTGATGGCAAGGTCAATATTTAAAGGTTTTATTCTTTAACTTTCTTAGCAAAGTCTTTTCAGTACAAACAAAGATACCCTGTCATTAGCCATCCACTCGGACAGTCCTGCTGGATTTTTTCTCTCATAATTCTGAAGAATGGTCATAAGTCTTCATGAAAGAAGGCCAAATTTTAATATGCCAAAAATTATAAAGGTGAGCTCGAGGTGAAACATTTATTCCATTAGAGGGTCCTATATTTTAAAAATAAATGGCCTTTTAAATGACGCACAAGAATTTCCCTCCAGACTGGTCTTGTGAAATGTAGTGGCTTTGTCTCTGTCGTGGTTTGGGTTGGAAGTCTTTTGGTAAATAATAATTTTTTTTAGTTCTCGTCCAATTATTCCTTGAGATGCAGTCTAATCTAGGGCTCCTTCTGGGGCAACAATATAACAGTAAGTGCTGTATCTTCAGTGAAGAATGAAATGGATTTTAGGAAAAGACATTCAGCTACACCTAACTTTTATTGTCAGCTGACCTGCAACTATTTTTCCCTCCAGAGTGGGCCAGAGAAAGGACTTTTTAATCAGTGTTTTATCAGTCTGTAAATCTCCTTTTAATTCTGCTGACAGGTACCATCCTTGAAGGTATCCCCAGTGGGCTGATGGCATGCATGTCATTGCCAGACCTTTGTGGCCAGAGTGCAGACCAGCAGAGGAGAGGAAAAATCAATCCTTCACTGACTCATTAGAAAGCACACGTTGCAGGGATGTTCAACACTTCCCTTTTATTGCAAAATGGTAGATTAATGGAACAGTGGTGGTACTGACAGTGGAGACACTTTCTGCAAAGGCCAGTATCATTCTTCCCATCTGGTACGAGCTTCCTGAATTTAGGATGCTAGATACCCAAAGGCTTCATTGCAAATCTTTTATTGCTACCTGCAGCCATAGCACAAAGCTGCATAAATATTGCCATTGCACTGAAGAATTTAAGTGCTCATTAGAAAATGAGACTCTTATACACAGGAACAAAAACTGAGAGGCATGAGCCTAAAAGTGCTCTTGGTTTCTTGCCTGCCTGAGGATGACTGATCTACCCTGGCCAGGAAATGTAGGGCTAGAGTTTACTGCCTTGTATTGTACAGTATGGTAACTTGAATTTGAAACTTGTCTTAGGTTGTTGAAGGAAGTGAAAAATAAATTTGAGGAGAATTCTTCGTTTCCTTAATTATATACCCAGGTACTTAGTTCAGAAGTGGGTGAATGCTCTACTTCAGCTAGAACAAAATACTTCCATAATAAAGTATTGGTTATGAATTCAGAATGTGAATTTACATCAGCCACTAAGGTCACATTTGGAGAAGCCGCGTAGGTTTAAGCCTAAATTTACCTGACTTTTCCAAGCCTCTGTTCTCTATACTCATGGGACTTATACTGTGAGGTTCTATGTTTCATTTATTTATTAATTTATTTTCAAAGTTGAACATTTTAATAATAAACTAATAGCAGCTTTTACAGTTTGATTTAGCCAGTGCTCCCAGCTGATTGAGGAAAATCTATACAGACACTAAGAAACAGAGTAGTTCATGCTTGTGAATCGACCTTGATATTTTGTTTCCGTATCTGCTATAGTCACCCAGAGAAGTAAAGAAGTATATGGCTTTCTCCAGTCTAAGCCATAAACTTTTCTGCCTTGCTGCATTCAAAATTGGAGTATTTGCTACAGAAAGTTGAAAATTCAGCTCTAGAGGATGTTACTTAGTCTAAATGATAGCAAAAACAAGTCAAGTACATTTTCTACTGTGATCTGAAGGTGATCAACTCTGATAAACGCATTTGTATTTTGTGGTATTTTGAAAATGTCATTTGAATTTAGCAGACCTGACTTTTTATCAGTTTCTAAAAATGTAGCTGGTGCTATTCAAGCTGTTTCCAGGATAGTATTATTAATAAAGATCCTCAAGTAAGAGACCATAAATTACTCTTCATTTTAAAAAGTCTGTCTACTGACTTACCATGCTGTGTCAAGGGAATTCATCTACTCCAGATGCCTCTTCATTCTTTTATGTGTCAAAAAAGAGTGCTCTTCTGTAATAGATCAGCATTTCATTCCCAAATTCACTTGAAAATTAGACAGCTTTGTTTCAAAGTGAAAATAGCAAACATCGTAAAATACTGATGAAAACATATAAAAGTCTTCAAATTCTCAGGTTTTGGGTAATTAATTTGCCATTCCCTCTGGTCTTTTTACTACCACTTCACACGAACTTGGGGAAACAGTGAAGGGGACCAAGGCGCACAATGCAATAGCCCAGACTTTGTAAACATATGCAGATCACACTGCTGTGGGTGGCACAGACCAGCATTTCAGTAGCCAATTACCCCTGGAGACAGGAAGAGGAAGGTGCTTCCCAGGATCTTGAGCCCTGGGAGCTTTTACCGCATACCAGAACCAGAGGGCTCCTTGAGTGCCTGAGATGAAAAGCTACTCGGGCGGGCAACTGGTACCACCGAGTTGGACGCACAGAGCAGGCAAAGGAGGAAGTTGCTGCCCTTCACTCCCTGAAGTCTGGCTATAGAGTAGATGAAGCCAGGCTCTCTGAGGTGCTCAGGGAAAGTTCAGAACTCAAAAGCTGAGATTTGCAGCAAGGAAAATGCTAGGTGGACATAAGGGGGAAAAAATCCACTGGGTGAGTGTTGCAGAGAAAGAGAAAGCTTCATCCTTGGAGACATATTCTTTGGAGAAACTCAAGACACAGCTGGACATGGTCCTGAGCAACTTGACTTCTTTTTGAAGATATCCCTGAAAGCTGGACTTGAGTGCCACCAGCAGTCACTTCCAGCCTCAGCTATCCCATGGGAAAATGACTTTCATGTAAGACACCTAGATAGGGTAGATGCTCAAAGACTGACTTAAACATTCTCACATCCTTCAGACAGACAAGATGAAAGAAGAGAAATGGCTTCAGAAGAAAAGTTTAGACCAGAAATCTTGTTCAGATACTCAGGTTATAGAAAATACTCTGTAAAGTTCTCTCATGGATGCACTTTTTTGCAAAAATATAGTGAAAAAGCAATCATCTTCTGAAAGGATTTAGTTCAAATCCTTAAATCAGCAGCAAGCATGACAATAGTCAGTGCTCAGAAGCTGAAAACTGTTGGTTATTCTCTAAGCTAACTACTCTTCCAACTGTTCATGGTATTGTGGGTTTCATTTTTCTTTAAGAGAAAGTTCTTGCTAGAAAACATTCACGGTGTCTGTAACGATGATATTGTAATAAGTTTAAATGAGTGCAATTTTTCTAAATCCTCAAAAAATCCTCCTACTACCATTTTTTTCTCAGGAAACTTTTTCCAAAAGTAGCTTTGCCTTTACTGCCTTTGCATGTTGCCTCCCTGAGAAAAAAAGTCATTGTAGTGGAAGAGGAAGACATGAAGCCATTTACAAGTCAAGTGACTTTTAAGGCTGAAAATATTCTGAAAATACAGGTAATCTTCTCCTAAACTATAGTGTAAACAAAGCTATCACAGTCTTCAAATCTGATGTTAAAGTAAGGCTTTATGAACATCAGTTGAGGTTTTCTAGTCCTCTGCTAGTTATGGAAACATAAATTATCAGTTTTCTGAATTTAAAGTCCAACCTAGAAAGGAAGATAATGCTTGGTAAAATCATGATTTAAATGCAAATTAAAAACCTGACTTTTCATGAAAGAGTATGTGAGTAACGACTTTTCATACTGTTTAGGTTTAAAATTCCTCAGTAACAATGGTTAAAATATTTTAAGTGCTAAATTACAAGTTAGCTTCCCAAACTAATTCAACTAGATGGTACAGTAGATTGCAAATCAAAGTTCTCTTTTTTTCCTTGAGAGACTGGTCCAAAGCCAGCTGAAGTTAACTGGAATCCTTCAAATGAATTCACTCTGGACTTTGGAAGACAAAAAAAAATGTAAGCACTTATGTCTTTTTAATCCTCTTCTGCTCCCATGGAGGATATGTAAAGGAAGGGGACACTAATGAGTGAATACAAGCTTCTGAGTGTTGTGTCCAAGGTGCAGTAGTGACATCTGCTAAATAAATTTCAGTGCTGTGGCAAACAGTTCACTGCAGACAAGCATTGACAGCTCCCTCTGCTACTGCAAGCATGGTCCACCCTTTCAGGTTGTAGATCTTACAGGGGCATTGGGTCATCCTCTGCCAGAGCAAAGTCCTTCCTTGGATCTGCCCCAAGACTCCTGCAGCCCCCTCACTCCCCTGATTAACATACCTGCAGAAGATATCTGTGATGTGCCCAGCATTTAGTTTCTCTTACTGGTCGCTGTAAGTATCTATGTGCTGAGTTTGACCTCTTTGCTTGTCATGTTTGCACTGTTAAGCCTGATCCCAATATTTCCAAGTCCATAAAATATAGTCTTGCATCTTACCATGGGGCATGACATTCTTAGCTCCCTCTCATTCAGCCACCTGTAATGTGCTCTGAAGCCAAAAGGCTACCTGAAACTAAGACATTTTTGATGCTCATCTGTCTTAGGTACTGGTATCATAGGGCAATCAGCCAGATTTCCATTCTTTTCTTTTTGCACCAACACAGATCAATTTGGCACAGGCAAAACCCCAAAGCATAAAGGTATTCAGAACAGAAGCTCTGGAGAAGCCAGCTGCTGCAGTTGGGAGCAGGAAGGAGAGGCAGAAGTGGGGTCTATTGCTGTTGGGAGGCGTCCTCCACATCCGCAGCATTTTGTATCTACACAGGATTTTACATCTGCATGGAGCAGGGTTGTGTGCTTTAGGTGGCAGGGTCTGAACCTGGTGAAGAATTTGCATCAACTCCTGCCAAAACTGCTGTGTTTGCTAATCACTACAGCCTCAAAGTGTTTAAAATTGCACTAAATTTTAAAATATTTTTGGAGGACTAGAGCCTACCAGACCCTAAGCTTTTCAGAAAAAAAAAATTAAAAAATGCTGGACGTCTGCATCCTATAATGGCAGAAGTACAAGTTTAAGACTGTGCTCCTGTCTACTCGAGCTCCATTAATGACCTGTAATAATGAGTGTTTCCCAACAGATTTCTGGGGATTTTAATCAAGTTCATTGGCAGTCTTGGTAATAGATGCTCTGATGTAGTTCAATAGTTTTTTGGAAATCTCTGCTGTGAAATGACTAGCTAGGCACTGAAACATACCTCCTGATCACATTTCTTTCATAAGCACAGCAAAGCTTGAGCCTTCCCTGCTGTCTGCTGCTGAGCTAGCTGCTACTTGGCCCCTGTGACAAACTTCTCCCCTCTTTCTTAATGCAGAACTGCTGATCTGGCTCCTTTTCTCCCCTTTGTTCTGAAGTCTAAACCAAGGGCTGGGGTGCAATCCCACAAGGTTCTCAGCGCACATGCTCACTAAGAGCAAGATTTTGGTATAGTACCAGCTGATTTCTATACATTATCTCTAAATATTAAATATAAGTCCTAGCTCAGTCTGAGGTGTATTGTTTTGTTACTGTAGTTAACATTTTATTGTAGGAAGCCTGAGCCTAGTACTTCAGTTGCAATGCAATGATGTCTACGATAAAATTCCCTTCCCCAGTTTACAAATTTACCAATTCCTAAAAAGTGCAGACCTTTACAGACCAATGCTCCTGAGCAGACCCTGAAAAAAACTGAGTGTAAAGCAACCTATGCAATGAAAAATATGTAACTTACAGACTGAAACTAAAATTATGTTGCTTCAAACAATTTTTTTTTATCTTAGCTGCTGGAGAGGTGGAAGTGCTAAAACTAGCTACAGCCTAGTTCACCCAATATAAAGGGTTAAGGCACGAGACAGACACAAGACTAATGTGGAAAAGTGGGGCTGTAACCTTACTGGATCTGGAAAGCTGACCATAATCTAGATGCTCTCTGGGCTAATATATCATCACTTTCCTGTTCTTGGGTGAAACACAAAATCTAGATTAAAAGCTCCCCCTTGATTCAGGAACACAGCCAGAGAGATGAGGCTGGGTGTCAGGACCTACTCCCAGCTGCTCATGCTGCTCGAGGGAATCACGTGGCAAATGCTCTTCTGCTGCGGGGCAGGATCCAGACCTCTCTGTGTAGAGAGTGGTCCTTGGCAATGAATGCTTACTTAATATTAGCTTAAATATTAGCTACCTGTCAGTCACAGTCTTTGGAGCTGGCTTTTCAGGAAGATAAAAGCACTCTATGCACCAAAGAAAAATCTACAATCATTTACACTGGGCACATGGACAGAGGAATGTTCCTGACCAGCCTCATGGAATTCAGCCCAAAGCTGGAGAAGCCTGTCTGTGAAGGAGGTGGAAAATTTCAAAAAGTGAGAAAAACTTGAATCTATGTGAAGAATCTGGGTTTGCCCTCCCAAGCACAGCGATAGGCAATAGCTCTGCACATAACATGGGACCCTCATCTTGTCCCACTGAAGTGGACCATGGGGTGTCTTGCATCATCTTCATCGCTCCACTGCACTGGCAAGCTTAGGGAAAGGAAAATCTCTTTGGGAAACTTTGTCCCCACTGACATGCAGGAGTGTCTGACCATGAGTTGCAAAGAGACAATTGCACATCCACTGGCAAATTCATACACTTTAATTTTAGGGGCTTTAAGCCACTCTTATTATATTTGGGAGCATTTTTTTTTTAATGTTTGAGTGTTTGGGGCTGGTGAAATAGTGGATGATATTTGGCGCTTCATGTATTTTCCACACAAGGTAAGCCAACAAGCCTGAGGCAGCTCTGGCTGGCCAAGTCCTCTTCCCTGTTGTGCAGACTCACAATGTGCCAAGGAAGCACCACAAGTGGCTCAAAGGTGGGAAGGCAATGGGGGGGAGACGAAACTTTGACTGCCTATTACATTTCTCTTCACATTATTCTTAACATCCAGGAGGAGAAAATACAGATAAATTCTCTCCCTGCAGGCTGGATAACATGAGACTACAGCCCAACACGTGGTGGTCCTTTATTTGGATGCAACTTCTCTCCCACTCCCTCACCGCTAATGACGAAAACCCCCAAATTTGTCCCAGAAACATTCTACCTGGACATGTGGAAAAGGACAACTGTCTGCTGTGGAAAGAGAAGCAGATTGGCCTGTGGTTACTGACCCTGTCTGCGGCTGAGGTCTCCGCTTATGGAGGAGCCTCCATCCAGCCTTCAGCGATGCTCCTGCCTTCCAGAGGTGGCTGGCAGATGTTGCTGATGTCTTTGGCTGCCCTGAGTGTCCCTCATTCAAGGTCCTGCACGCAATTCCTTTCCCTGCCAAGTGGTTTAAAAAAAAAGGAAGAAAAAGAGAAAAAAAATTAGACTTACACTTAAAAAAACAGTTTGGAAAATATGTCGCTTAAAATCAACCCCCATTTAAAAAAATTAGTTCAAGATGTTGTCACTTCCTGAGCCAGGAGACACTGGGAGCACAATGCAGGAAGTCTGTCCAGCCTCTACACTGCTGTCGGACAGGGACAAGTTATTATAGTGTGGGTGAGATTAAAAAAGGTTTTGAGCACCCAGACAAAATTTTCCTTTGTCTCTGTGCAGTGTGTGTGTAACCCAGTCTGTGACCTGCACTGACCAGGGGATGGAAAAGAGGTTCATCAGTTATACTTCTATGAACTCACTTGTTTCAGACAAATGGCAAAGAGCAACACATACCCTTCTGTGGTAAAGTCTATTTCTGCTATGTTGTCAGTGGGATGTTGTTAAAGAGGTTGTAACAGACTCCCTTCACCCCACAGGTCACCCTCATAAGGGGAAACTGCACACCTGCCAGGTAGAGATGCAGCAGGATGCTGATGCCAAGTAATCATAGAGTCATAGAATGGTTTGTGTTGGAGGGGACCTTAAATATCATTCATCAGTTCCAACTCCCCTGCCATGGGCAGGGACATCTTCCACTAGACCAGGTCGCTCAAAGCCCCATCCAGCCTGGCCTTGAACACTACCAGGGATGGGGAAACTACAGCTTCTCTGGGCAACCTGTTCCAGTGCCTCACCACCCTCACAGTAAAGAATGCCTTCCCAATATGTGATCCAAATCTACCCTTATCCTAACACAAGAGGACCATGAGACAGCCATGAGAGACACAGGAATAATTAAATCTTTTAAATGAGCAAGAATACTGCTCTGTGTGTGGGCGTGTGTCTTTGCTAGGCTATGATACACACACAAAGAGCACTGAGGCATAAGGATGTCTGTTATCTGTTGTTCTGTTACCACAATATCTGTCTTCCAGCATGACCATGCAATCACATTCACAAGGTATTTTAGAATAGAGAGAGGAAAGGAGAAATAGCTTCTTCTTCTTCTTTAGCACTTCAGGACTGGATCCAAATCTCTTTAAAGTCAATGGGCATCTTTCCAGTGCTGTCATTAGGTTTCAGCGCATACCCTGACAGCAGTAGAACAAACGAGTATCGTTATTAGGCAGATCACCGTTAATAAGCAGTAAGTTTCAGTGTGGGAGAGATTTAACTCATATTTGGGAGTTGATACATTGCGTACTAACACTTTGGCAACACTGGGAGGTATGCACTTTTGGAAGACTCCCTAGAACTGAACATTTCAAAGAGATATAAGCTGGGACCTGCAGTGCAAAAGGTGTTGCTTCCAAGAACCCTTTCTTTTTCTTCTTTCTTTTCCTTGTTCCTTAGCCTGTCCAGCTCCCCCTTTCTTTGATTTACCCTACAGTCTTCACTTCAGTGAGCCAGTGCTCAGCATGTAGAATATGGACTCCAAGGTGAGTTCCTTGGTTTTAAGGCAACTCAAATTTGACCTCTCTCCATTTTTTTAGCTTTGCAGCTCTTTTCAGTGCCTTGCAAGTTAAAATGTATAGTATTGTAGCATGAAATAAAGGCTTATAAGACACAAGCAAAGAAGTGAGAGTTCTATTGTCAACATATATTTCGGTAGACAGAACCACTGGCAGTGCTATATTAATGGCTGGACTTAATCATCTGCAAGTTTTTTTCTGACCTAGACAATTCTATGAGTCTATGATTAACTTTAGCAATTATATAATTTAATAAGAAATTATAATTTTTTGTAAGCAGAAATTACAGAATTTTTTTCTCAATATTATCTGTATACCTTTCTGCAGGCTAATATAAAGGAAGTTTAAAATATCTAAAACATGCTCTAAAATAAGTTTTACGTATATAATTGGAGCATTGAAGTTGGATCTCCCAGGATCCTCTGTAGAAAGGACTGGATTTCCTATTTTAATGTTATCAAAGTTTTGACCCCAATTTTTGAAAGTAAACGTCAGAAGTTATATTTCAAGTGAATTTACTGGCAATTGAAATGTTTTGGGTTTTTTTCAGGGGTGAACATTTAACAAACCAGTCTTCGATAATATCTTTGATGTGCTTAAATATGAGTTTAAGAAACTGAATTGTGAAAGTTGAGTGTCATGCCTTTGGTTTCATTTAATAATTTTTAAAAATTGTTGCCTGTGAATTAATATTAAGACCTATACCTATACACTGACAAGGTTTAATTTCAGAAAGTGATTTGAACAAACGGAAGTATTTTTCCCTGTCACTTAAAGACTGCAGAGATTAGCAAATACGTGTCATTTGCCTCCTCAGATTTTGGTAGAAGAGAAAACATGTTTTGTTTTCTCATTGAAGTCAAAGAAGTCCCATTTCATCATTAGCTGTAGGACTAATTGCTCCATATTTAAGTACATGAAAATTGTGACTATAGACTTAAAGGTTTCAGATCAGCCGATAACAATAATAATACCCCAAGAAATCAGTTGTATGATAAAGGAGGATAAAAAAAATCTAGGAAATTAATCACCACACAATATTTATGTCTCTATCAGAAGTAAAAATTATAGCAATTTTTGTTAAAATTTGCAGTATAAGACAATAATTCTTGCACAAAAAAAAAAAATAAAAATTGAGAAACCTGAATCTATGACTTTGTTTTTTGTTTTTGTTTTACAGACACTAATCTTAAAAACTCCTGATAAACTGAAATATTTTGTTTATTTTCATTACAGAGATATGAAATGAGTCACAAAGTCTTTGACCTAAATGCCTGTTTGCTTGCGTATGTTTTCTCTAACAGAGAGAATTAAATATTATTTTGCTTTAGGTTATTTTTCAACATATGGGCTACCTTCAAAATTAAATATAAAAATAATTTCTACTTCGTTATGTATGTTCACTACCTGGGGCTGCTTTGCTCTGTCTTTCATAGGTACATCTGTGCTGTGTGTTTCTCTCATTGAAATAGAAATAACTCCTATCAAAAGTTTCTTCCTAAATTGAAAATATAAGCAAAGGAGGTCAGAAAAAAAGAAGTTAAGCATAATTTCTAACACTATAAACCCATTCAAGCCATAAATGGCAAGGTGATTTGGTTTCTTAGTGTTTGCCATGACTTTAAAATGAGTGGTAAGGAGTCTCCAATGATGGAAAGTCAAGGATTATTAAGGGTTACGAATATCAAATTAGAAATGGGGGTAGAAAGCAGGCCAAAGCTGTGCTGGCTCTGAAGAAGTAAGGGTTGGGAGCAAGACTCACTGAGTTCTTGCCAGAGAAATTCTCCTTTGAACAAAACATTCCATGAAATCCACTGTACCTTGCCTGCGTTCCAGCAGCTTTCACAAAGGCAAGGCGTCACAGTGGGACATTTTCCTGCTCACCCCATGTAGTCTAGTGCTGAGCATTGACAAAGAGTAAACATACTGTGTTCCAGACCTCCAGTTCAGACCGAGACAATAGATACTGAGTGCCACAATGGAAAAAAAAGGTAAAGTTTGATCTGGAGTTACCTTGATGGCCTTGGGTTAACATTTGGGCTTGACTTTGAGGGTGCCCATTTGCAGAACAGATGCAGAACTCAGTATCACAATGTCCTGGTGTCAGCACAACATTACACTGTGGATTTTTCAGTAGATTATCTCAGTTCTTCCCAGTTCTGTTCACATCTTCCCCTGGTATCCCTGCAAACATCCCTGTGGCCTAAGTTTGCACCAGCACCAAACCTTGGCCTTAGGAAATGCACTTATTGGCAGAAGTCTGCCGTTTGCTTCCGCTTTCTTTTTCACTGCAGCCGAGTCTTTAATCTCAGTGAGTGCCACCTCTGCGTGGTCTGGCATGTGCTCTTTACGGGATGCTGAGATCCTAGCAGACTTCTGCCAGCAGTTCATTAATTACAAGAACAGAAGCGCCACCCGTGTGCTGTGCCAGCATGAGGCTTCCAGGTCTTTGACGGTGTGTGTTTATGCAACTGCAGAGAGCGCTGGCGTCTGCTGTGCTTTGCAGGGTGACAAGGAAACGACAGTAAATTCGAGGGAATGCTCGTTTGCCGCTTACGTGAAAACATCCTGCTTTCATCATGCCAGAGAGGGGTCAATGTCAGCACTCGGCATTGTGAGGTCACTTCACCAGTATCATGTCACATGTTCCCTTGGGTACTTGTTTAGACAGACCAGTAAAGTTGAGTGGATTCAAATTCTGTTCCAGAGGCGGTTGATCATCATGCCACTGTTGAGGTCAGTGGAAATGGAGACAAAATTGAGCCAGGCTGAGCCATGGAGCTCTCTGATATTGCCCTTGGAGCTCCTCATCTCCAAAAGGGTTGTTTTCCTGGATTTCATAGACAGCAAATGGTATATAAGAGTCAGCAGCTTGCTCGGCGTCAGCCACAGTAGCTCCACTGGATACTGTGGACTGCCACCGGTTTACAACGCACAAAGATCTGTCACAAGGTCTTTTGGACCTCCTGATTGCCGTGAGTAATTCAGATTCCAACTGAAAAATAAACCCATTTTAATACAGTTTAAAAATATAAAATTAGTGCTTAGTTTCTTGACTGCTAGCACCAAACCTGGCTAAGGCAGCTATCTGTAATTTTCGAACATCTCATGAAAACACTCTTTTCCATCTCCCTGGTGATTTAGCCTTCCACTTGCTTTTTAAATTCAGTCCATCTTTAGATACTGTGGAAACAATGCTAAAGCTGAACACAGAATAAGAACGAGCTTACACCATCTAAAAAGACTTCTTCCTTGGAGAGACCATGTTTAAATTAGGAAGACCCCTACCAGGGTAGCAGGAGTTCAAATGAAAAGTTTTCTTCAATAAATGTATTTTAAGGTTTTATACAATGATACATAACATCACACTCACTGATAACTTTGTCAGGATTTGCTACAAAGGAACATCAAAATAAAAACGAGTTTCATGAGCAGATGTCAACCCCTTTTTAGTGTTAGACTGAAATAAAGCCTTATAGGAACAGGAAAAGATGAATAAGACTGAAAAAACTTAATATAGTGATTATAGGAGTGATGGAAACTTCCAAATTTGGTGTTATAATAATTGCATGTAAGATGAACAGTAAATAACAACATTAATAATGATTACTGCTTTTATGACGTGGCAATTAGGTACGTTATTCTTCTATTACACATATGTGCATAACATGCACCTGAATATAATATGCCACTAAGAGTGAGGGGTGATTAATTGCCATCTGAAAAGGGATCAAGCATTTTAGTACTATAGCAGGAATGTTTACAATATGCCTGTGAGTGTTTTACAATACTCAAAAAATGGAAGCAGCAGGATGGAGTAACTGGAAAAACAAAGTGATATGAGAGAGCTTGGAGCAGAGACCAGCCACAGGGTAGGTAGAGAAGGAAGGACTTTTGGCAGGAAAGTATAAACTTAAACTTCAGTGGGTGGCAGCCAAGCTCTGCAGCTACTGCAGATAACTTAAAATACTAAGGACTATAGAGCCAACAAGCCTGTGCTCTTCTGAGAACGGCAGAAATTTCTAATGCTAGGTTTTCTTAAGAGTTTTCCAGTCTTCCATATAGAGATTTCACAAAGGAAATTAAAAAACATGCATTAAACAATGAACAAGAAAGGAGCCTAGATCATTGCCATACTGAACCCGGAATCAAAGATATTTGATAGACTCTGTCATGATGCTCCTTCATGCCCAGCTGCAGATTACAGAGCCTTTGATGCTCCTGTTACTGAGCATTGCTGTGTCAATCTTGAAAATTGTTTACTGGGATGTCTGCTTTCCTGTCATACTTGCAAAAAAAAAGCAGCTGAAAGTCTGTCTGAAGCTGAATACTTTATTTCTGTTATCTGATGCTACGCAAAGGATGAGACTAATCTCTCATTGTCTGTCAACAAAATAAAAAAATGGACTCTCTGGGTATAATCTCCCACTGTCCTTGGCTCCATACTTGCATAAACTGACAGAAAGTTTTGGCTGTTAGTTTTCTAAACAAATTAGATAATGCAGTAGTGCAGATGCTCTTCACAGAAGGCTGTATTACAAGTACATTGCCAGTACAACCAATGAACAAGAACTGTAGGCATTTGCAAGTTCCCTTTTTGCGGTCCAGTTAGGCCATTATGCTACTTCAGCGAGCATGGTGATGGAACCAGGTGTTTTCATGCAATAGAAGTTCCCACTGACTGCAAAAAGACAGCATTATTTCAATTTACAAGAAGGGCATGACGCAACACTCAGGAAACTACAGACCTGTTAGTCTAATCTCTAATTATGTTCATCTTCCTGGTAAGAGTCCTTCACCCAGGCTCTGCAGAGAATGAACATGCTGGTCTGTAAGCACCATTTCTTCATAGGACATATTTATTTTGACCACATATCCTTCCTGAAGCCCGACATACAGAATAACCCAAACAATGGGATTGCCTGGAGCCGAAAGAAGGGGTGCCAGGTGAACCCAGTATCCTTTAAATCAGAGACAGACACTGGGTTAACCTACAGATTATGCAATAATCCTGAAAATACGTTACTGATATTAAAAAAAAAAAACCAAAAAATTATCTATAAAATATTAAGCTTTACCAGAAACAGGAAAGCAGATAGCTGACTCATGCACAAAGAAGGCTTTCTAGAAAAAAAATCTCAGAAGTTTTAAGAATGTGATTTTCTCTCCTTATTTGATGATGCATTTTTTATGTATGAATTTTTATTCTGGCATGCAAAAAACCCAAACCCCAAACGTTCCCCCACCTAGTTTAAAATTCTTTTTTTCCCTGTTTTTAAATTATTTTGGGTTTTAGCCTCTGAGGAGAAAGAACAGCAACCAATGTCATATAACACTTTGGATGCAAAATCTCAGATAATATGGCAGCAGGAATGCGGGTCAAGCAGTCCCTGTTTCCTGAAGACAAGAATGAGGGTCAGTAACAGTCACACACAAAAGAAAGAGAGACTCATGCTATTTTCCAAATTATGACACATCTCGATGACATACTTATGAGGCACAATTTTTGCCTTCCAAAACTTACTGTGCTTCTTGAGTAGTGATGCATGAAACTCACTCTCATGCCTGCCTGGAGCTTGTATTGCCCACAGGGATAGCTGAAAAGTGGCAGCTTCTCATGGGGCTGGAAGCCTGGAGCCCTTCCAAGCACAGGCTGTTTTGCAGAAGCAAGAACCCCTGGGGAAACAGAGCCAGGAGAAGAGCAGAGCTCATTCCTGCTCCGTGTTTGCAATGGGCCAGAGAGCCAGAGAGAGCCAGGGCATGAGTGGTGCCTTGGAGGCACAAGTGCAGCATGCAAGAACCAAGCTGACGGGGGGCTGTGCTCAGCGCCACAGAGAACAAGAAGCAATCCCTGGGGGCCACCCATAGGGCCAACCCTGGGAGCCTAGAAAGTTGCCTTTCCCCAGATGTGGGGCATGAGGGCTACCATCGTGGTGGATGACTAGCAGACAGCAATCTAGCCAAAAGGGACTGGAGGAGACCTGACCAGTGGTCATGCTTGATGCTGCAGAGGAAGGCAAAAAACTCCTGTGAAACTGTGCCAGTCTGTCTCAGGGGAAAATTCCTTCCTGATCCCAAAACTGATGATAGGCTATTTGCTGAGCATGTGAGTGAGACATGCCTCCTCGTTCCACAGGTTGGTCATGCCTCCCAGGAGATGTCTAATCTCTATTCTCCCTCAGCCTGGAGCCATCTCAGGGCCTTCTGACAGTGGCCACATGCAAATGGATGCCGAACTAGCACATCCTGAAACAATTAGCTTTGGCTGTACAAAATGCATTCCCATACTGTGCTGTACCTAGCAACAATCCAGACTGGAAGTAACAACTTCTATATAACTAGCACTGAGTGCCACATTAATATAAAAAAATAGTCACATCCTTTAACCACTATAGATGGAAATTTTTTTGGAAGTGCAGGTGTCACTTGGCTTTTTTCTTTTATTTTTGTTTTTAACTCTGGCTATCAATGGACTGATCTGAGGCTTATATCTTATCCCAAACATTTTCCTATGACCTGCTGTTACCTAGCAGGGCACTTTAATGCCAAAATTTTTGGTACAAAGCAAGCGCTGTTTACAGCACTCAAGTGCAGTGATTCTGCTCACACCCTCAGGTTCAGACGGCCCAAAGTTCAGCACTCAAGACACCTGACCAAACACATACCACCTATGTCTCCCTCCTCTACGGCTCTGTCCCAGCCATGTTTCAGGCAGCTGCTGTAGAAATAAAGGAGGAAGCTTTAAAGATATATTGTGCTTGGCTGCCCTTGCCTGGTGCTTTTGGCTGGCAGGGGCATGTTTCACTGTGGAGGTAATATACAACATTTCCTTCTGCTGTTTAAAAAGATCCTCTGGAGAGGGAGATTTTGTTAGTGAACAACATGTCTGACATCATG